TAGGTGAAGGGTAAAAATTATCTTAGCCTTTCAGTCCTTGAAGTGAGGAGTAAATGGGCACTGGGGAAGTTTCTTGGGGACCATATGTAGGATTTGCAACCCAGGGGTTAGCTGTGGTTGGAAACTCAGAGGATTGAAGTTAATAGAGATTTACTTAGATGATATAACAGCCAAACTTCTGCCCTCTAGCCTCTGTGTCTTTGCATTTGCAGACCTATCCCCATGGTCAAATCTTTTTTATTCCTATCTAGACTTAACTAACTCCTCTGTCCTTGGGATTCAGTTCAAGCAGCAATCCTGTAATTTCTTCCAAAGTCTTCCCTGACTGCCAAATGTCTAATGAGCCAATCACTCTTCCCCCTCCCCACTCTTGCACTTATTACCATTCCATACATTTATTTCTTCATAATGGATTGCAACATTGAGTATTAACTTTTTTTGCCCCGTATTTATCCCCCAAACTGGGCTATAACTTCCTTGAGAGTAGGGCAAGTACTTTCATTCGTTGGTGTAAGCCAAGTATACAGTTTTGAAAGCAATCCAGAGAAATCATCAATTTTATTTCATCAATAAAAAATCAGAAAGTTTTTCCTGGTTACCCTCTTCCAAATTTTATTAGTTCACTCACTTTCTTAACATTATAATGTTCCACAGTTTTAATTTCATCACTAGACTATCAGCTAAAGTGAACTTCAAGTTCCCACTTATTCCCAGCAAGCCTGAGCCTAAACCCAGTGGGAGGCTCTGCCAACTATCTCTTCAGGCTTAGGCTGTGTTCATTCTGATGGAGCTATTGCCTGTTCTGTTCAATTTACTTATCATGGTCTTTAATTCACTTGGTGCTTGCATTTTCTCTGCAATAGGCCCACGGACAGACCCCTGCCTCTGGAAAAGGCTGCATTTAGTCAATCCTGAAGACCCAGGAACCTTGATCTGCTCTGTTTGATGCTGGTTCCAAAGGCTTAGCAATTTTGAAAGAAGATTGGCTGCTTAGTGGCTTTGTTTATTAGGTACCTTTCTACTCTAAATTGCCCACAATTGACCCACTTACATCAGAGAAGATCGGGGGTGGGGAGGGATTGGAATGCTTAACAATGTAATTATACATTTAAAAGAAAAATTATAAAAAACAATATAGATTTAAAAATAATACATCCTAGAAATTATTTTTCACATTTACTTTCTATGGCCCCTGAAGTCCTCAGCTTTGACACATACTTGAGAGGACCAGAAATCCCTTGTATGAACTGTGGACTAAACATTTTTTCACCATTAGAAGCCTTTAGAGTCTTACGCAGAACCAGATTTATACCAGATACCAAGGGCTTGACACTTTATGATTCCACCACTGAAATGCTTTGTCAGCAGCTGAGCCAGTCCTCTAGACTTTCCCTTTCTTTGTTAGTTTATTAGAGACTGTGAACTTAGTACTAAAACTAGTCAACATTAATGGAGGACCATTATGTTTGCTGTATATTGTGGGGAAAACTTTGGGGAGTTCATAATATACTTTTTTTTCTTTTCAGAATACTTTTTACTTCTTGCAAAGAGCAATATTTACTTAAGCATTAAACTTGTTTAAGGAAATTGAAGAGACTGTGAAAATAAAATAACTCCAAAAGAACTCTAAAATTGAAAGTTGAAAATCACTAGTAAAAAGGAGTCCTTCCATTGATGCAACTCCTTCCTTTTTCACTATCTAAAAGCCCCCATGCCTACAGTAGAGGCTTCAATATGCCAGAGAATAGAAATTGCATAGATGTGACCAATTATTCTTCAAGTGTTTGATTGTCTTTTTAAATATAAAAAATGAGATGTAGTTGGAGCTGTAATGAGCAATAGTCTTAAAAATCTAAATAAATAAAAACTGGTTCCTACAAATATGACAAAGCCGACTCTAGCTTAATGTTCCCTAGACATTAGGAAAGGAATATTTTCTGTGATTAATGTTCCCCTTACAAGAAGTAAAACATGCTTTATAAACCAGTATTAGAATCACTGAGTAGTTTGCTTCTGCCACAGTTCAGTGGCTTCAGGGTTGGGTTCTTGCTGATTGTTCATGAGTGGATTCCTCTCTGCTCCTAAATTTTTATAGAAAAAGAAATTAAGAAAAAATTACCTTTAATTACAGCTCTCACTAGTTACTGAAACCAAGTGCATCTCACTTCATTCACACTGTGTTGGAACTGCAAAGGATATCAGAGAACAACTAATCCAACTTTCACTTACTACATTCCAATGTCTTAGGAAGAAGGAGCTCGCTCAGGGATGCTCTGTGCTTTACTTTTAAGTAGCATTCTTGCCACTATGATAAACAACAGTATGTTAATCAGAATTTTGTTAACTGAATTCTATTACCAATATAACATAAAAATTGTAATTGAACTCTTCAGCTGAGCTTTCTATTAAAACACATTTGTTTTATAATGCATATTTATTGCACCAATTTATTTTATGTGGATTTGGAAATCTCTTTAAGCATTGAAGCATACTCATATTCCTTTTGGAGCTTTTAGAGAAGAAATGAGCAGGAAGGAGCCTGTGCAGGTGAGGGAGGTGAGAGTCAGCAGAGAGCCATGGAAGGAAGATGTGAAAGCGTTTATTCAAGTGTTTCTTCCCTTCAGAATGGTCAATTTTAGGTCCTTTGCATGGGTATACAACCAACAGGATCCCAGCACCACAATTTCCTTTTTTCTAGAAGTTTTCTCTTAGGCTGCAATATAATTAGAAATATGACTCTACTTACAATAGTAACAGTTCATTGAAAATATAGGAGCATATAGTATTGGAGGACACTATCATATTACAGCAATGTAAAAGGTTTATTTTGTTAACACACACATGCAAAACTTGCTCCTTTGCCAATTTTTAATTCCCCACATGCACATTGGCTGTATGCTGGAGCATAAGAATTTACTGTGCTGTAAAATATACATAAAATGATTCAATATTAAGGTTGATAGTGAATCAGATATGAAACAGTAATAGGAATCATTGAAAGAAATGTTCCATCTGTGTGTCTCAGTAAATATTATGCATATTTACAAGGATTTATGTAAACTCAATAACTATACCAAACTTTCAACACACACTTATTGATTACTCACTAAATACAAAACAAGGCACCACAGGATCATAAAATTCTTGGAAGACCCATGTTAGAATCATTCTAGAGTGAATTGTTCACCAAATAATAAGATTCATCTACTATATGAGAATACACAATTTCAAATAAGTGGGCTAAAATCACCTATTAAAGATGAAGAGAAAGTCAAGTTGTAATTCTCATAGTTGCAAAAATGGAAAAAGAAGTAATTATCCATTATCTCATACTTAAGGAACATCAGGTACCTTCCAGTTCTCTGCACTTTCCCTATTTTTCAGGCTTTCTATAAAGTAGATAAGAGGGATGGATACTCTGATTGCAGTAACTAGTATGCAGCATCAAACCCAATCCTACTCCCTAAGATTGGTCCCGGGACAATATTGAGCACCTGATCATGAGGTAATGCCTTCAACTTAAATGCTCCTAGTTTATCTTATGTGAATGTATTTAAATAGTCGGTGCTGGAGTGGGAGTTTAGCCTAGTGGTTGAGACACTTGTACCCCACGTGAGGGTGCCTGGGTTCAATTCCTAGCTCTAGTTCCTGAGTCCAATTTCCTGACAACCTAGACAATGGGAGGCAAAGGTGGTGGCTCAAGTAGTTGGATTCCTTGCTCCTGGCTCTGGCTTGGCCCAGCCCTGGCCCAGCTCTGACCATTGTGGGCATTTGGGGAGTGAACCAGCAGGTGGAAATACTCTTTCTCTCTCTGCTCTCTCCACATCTCACATAAATGAAAAATAAAAATTTAAATAACCTGTGCTTTTGATAGCAAGGAATAAGGCCCCCCACAAGCTTCATTTTTGGTCACCAGTATTGTTGGAAACAATTACTATGCTGCATTATTATTTCCTTAAAAACATCTCAAGGTTGTTTCTAGGGTAGAAATTATCAAAAAGAAAATCTGAGCTTTTAAATACACTAAAGACCTATGAAGCCCACTAAACAACACAATTCTCTTAGATGAAGATGGCCATTGCTTTCAGGGATAAAGGTAGATTGCCTAAGGATCATCTTCATTTCTTTTAACAATAAGGGCTCAAATGAGAAGAAATTCTTAACAGGAAAAACACCCCTAATTCTCTGCTTCAGGCCAGATTGTTGGATTGAAATTGCTAAGAAGTAAGATATTTATTCTTTTTCTATCTTCTTCAGAACATTGTCCAGCCTATAAGCAACCAGGGAGTCACAAAAATGTTGCTCAGTTTGCCTTGGAATGCTAGCTAACAAATAACCCCCACATCCCGAAGGCTTTCCTTCTTGTTATCTAATGAGGCCAAAGTGCAAGGAACAATGAGAAATTCTCTGACTCAGTGCAAACTTGCCTTCTTCTCCCAATCCTTGTACATTAATAAAGGTTAAAATTTATTCAGCTCTACTGTGTGTCAGACATTATTCTGGGCATTTTGTTTACAAGAATTCATTTGATCTTTATACCCAGCTGGTGTGGTAGATACTCTTAGTATTTCTCTTTTATGAAAAAAAAAAAAAAAACAACACCTGACATACAGAGACATCAAATAAATGGCTCAACATCACATGTACAGAAAGCAGTGCAGCCAGGATTCAAACCAGACAGTTTGGATTAGAATCTACATTCTTAACGATGTATTTTTTTACTCTGAATAAACACCTAGAAAATAAGCATCTCCTTAGAGAAAGTGATGTTCTGGATGTTAAATGATGTATACAATGTCTCACATTATATCAGTTCCCCAGCTCAGATCTTTCAAAATCTCTCTGTTGCAAACAGAGAAGAGACAATTCCCATTCACCTGTTTCACCTCAGTTTAGCCACAAACTACAAAGCCTGCTATATTGCCTCTGGCTTCCTCCCAGGAGTAAAGGCTCTCCATTCCATTTCTACATCTCTTAAACCAAAATAACTTGGTTCTCACCTTTCCAGGCATGAGTGGGGCAAAGCTGCAAGTCCTTTGCACATTTTGGCAAGTGGCTTAGCTCCTCAGCTTTGAGCAAAACTTCTTAACGGCAGAATGAGTCTCTGGAAACTTCAAAACTGCCTGAGAAATATATAGAGGTTCTTTTCCAGCCCTCTGTCCCTCTTTGGACCAATCCAGAGCCGTGGAGGAAACTGCAGGCTGGAGTGCAGCAGCGGTGGCGCATAAAGGGGGAGGCTGGAATTCTTTCTCTGCTCCAGGCGCAGCTGTAGCATCAGGCTTTCAACAGCTCTTATCACAGCCCACTGTTGCTGCTCTGGCCAGGATAGGTTATTACTGTTTGAACTCTTAATCCGAGGCAACTGCAAGGAAGATTTGGGCTTTCTTGTGAAGCGGGGTGCCTTGGACTCCTGGATCTGAGTAATGAAGAAGATATTAATGTTTGTATAAATCAAAACACATATGAATGATGATTATATAGTCTATGAATTTCTAGGCTTGTGACTATTAGAAAAAGATCTGCAAGACCACACATTAAAGTCTTAATCAGGATCAAGTGTGAGGAAAGTGGAAAAAGAACTGATGATGATTCCAATCATATTAGAGATGACCCCCCCCCCCCAAACTCTCCTAACTGTTTAAGGAGTCTTTAGTTTGATGGCTAGGTAATTCCTAGGGACAACCTCAACCTATCCACCCACCTATTCGTGGTTAAGTTTGCCTTTCCTTTCCCCTTCAATTCTTTTCTAACTCCTATCATTATTATTCAAGGAGTTTTTCCGCCTAAATTATGTCTCATCCTAGAGGGCGTCCAGGGTGCTGGTAAGTTAACATGTAAATGTAAATGAGTAAGGAGTCTGCAAGATTCCAAGCTCAAAATAAGCAGCATTGCATAAGCTGCGGGAAAATATCTGAATTTGGAATTAAAAATTTTCATCATTTCCTGTTATCTGAAATCATTTGTCTTTAAACAACCCCTTCCGCATATACTCTTTCATTCAAACTGTCAACCAAGAACTGCTCTGAGTTTTAAAGGTCAGTTCAGCTGATGTTTTAAATTATATAAATAAAATAGACAAATATCCAAGTACAAGTTCATAGACAAACAAGTATTGTTTCTGAAATTTTACCTTTAATCATTAATATTTATATATTCTCAGGGTCATTGAGTAAACTGTATTTCTCTTTTAAAAAATTTATTTGTTATACAAATGTCATGTATTTCATATATACAGATTTAATTCTTACTACAGGTTATAATAAACATTGTCTGAGGGCTAGGCATTGAACCTAGCAATAAAGATACCTGTTTTATGCATGGGAGTACTTGAGTTCAATTCAGAACTCCAGTTCCTAACTTTAGCTTCCTGCTAGTGCACACCCTGGATTGAAGCAGTGAGTGATGGCTCAAGTAATTGAGCCATGGGGGACCTGGATTGCATTAATGGCTCTCAGCTTTGGTCCTGGCCCAAACTGGCCAGTGTGGGCATTTGGAGAGTAAAATAGAAGACAGGAGCTCTGACTGTCTGTGTGTCTGTCTCTGTCTCTCTGCTTCTCATAATATTATTAATAATAATAAGCTTTGAAAGCCATATTCTCCCGTTCTTTTTCTCTCACCCTCTCTCATTTTATGCTCCTGGCACTAAGCACAATGTCAGGTCCATAGAAATTTATAAATATTCTTTGGACAATATGCAACAGTGTGGGTTCTGCCTTTCACCGTTGAGTAAACCTCAGCAAATCAATCAATCATGACACTGTTATTGACTACTGAGCCTAATAGTGAAAACATAAAACTAGCAAAGGAGATTCCTTGGTAAAACAGTGTAAAATGATGTTTGATATTCAAGGGGCCTTGAGGCAATGATACAGAAAATAAGCAATCAAAGAAACCAGATTTAATGTAGACAATGGAGAGTGATGTCCTGGTCAGGGCTGAAAAATCAAAGCAGGTTTCTGAACGTCCCATAAGAATTCATGTGATGGACTATTTATCAATCAAAATTGTACCAAAAGATGCCCTGAGACTAAAAATGCAGAATTCAACATGAATAAATGCTAAGCTTAACATATATAAACTTCTGAAGCATGGGCTGGCCAGAGAGATGTAAAAGAACACATTTTAGAAGCAGAAGGTGGGGGCCAGCGCTGTGGCTCACTTGGTTAATCCTCCACCTGCGGCACCGGCATCCTATATGGGTGCCAGGTTCTAGTCCCGGTTGCTCCTGTTCCAGTCCAGCTCTCTGCTGTGGCCCAGGAGGGCAGCGGAGGATGGCCCAAGTGTTTGGGCCCCTGCACCCGTGTGGGAGACCAGGAGGAAGCACCTAGCTCCTGGCTTCGGGACGCCAGTCGCAGTGGCCATTTGGGGAGTGAAACAACGGAAGGAAGACCTTTCTCTCTGTCTCTCTCTCACTCACTGTCTATAACTCTAGATGAAATGATGGGGTGGCAGGAGAGAAAGAAATTGAGAGGCTGCTCTTCCACGGGCATAAAGGTCCAGTTATAAAAGATGAAAGTGGCGGAGATCTTCTGTTCTACATTGTGCCTGTAGGTAATACTGTATTGTATGCTTAAAAAACTTGCATAGATCTCATGTTATGTGTTTAGCACAATAAAAAAGGAACATACTCTTGTAAAATAAACTTTAAAACTGTTAAAAAGAACTTCCTAAAAATTGTCTTTACCTTCCATGTATCCCTGAAACTGATATCAAATGTATGAAAAGGTAAAAAGCTACAATGGTGAAGAAAGAAACAGACTATCACCACGTCTGAGTAACTTCAACCTCTTCCTGGAGGGTGAACAGGATGGGTGGAGTGGTAACTAATGAAGCAAGGGGCAACCCCAAGGCTGCCGCAAGAGGTACCCTCTGCTCTGGAGGATTCCTCAGGGTCAGGACTCCAAAATGCTAGAACAGAGCAGGCAGGAGGTGGCTATGGAGATGGAAGTACCAGAAGAACCTGAGTGATCATCATTCCCATGTTCATTGTAGCTCAACACACAATATCTAAGATATGGAATCAACCCAGTTGTCCATCAGTTGTCGACTGGATAAAGACATTATGGTATATATACACTATGGAGTATTACTCAGTGGAAAAAAAAATGAAATCCTGTCTTTTACAACAAAATAGACACAACTATAAACCACTATACTTAATTAAAGAAACCAGTCACAAAAGACAGGTACCATATGTTTTTCCTGATCCAAGGTAACTAAGAGAGTACCAAAAACATAATGTATTGGAGTGAAATGGACATTTTGAGATTTGATGATTGTTTACAGCCCTTGTCTCTTGCATTGAGAAACAATGTTTTATTTTTCTTCATACTATTTGTTGAACTCTTTTACTTAGTGTAGAATTAACTTCATGATCATTAAGTAAAGTGAAAGCCAATCTTTGTAAAAATTAAGAGGAGGAAGAAAGGTTGGAGCGTGGGTGGAAGGGAGAGTAGAGTGGGAATTATCACTATGTTCCTAAATCTGTATATATGAAATATATGAAACTAATATAACTTAGATAAAATTTTTAGAAAAAGACAAAAAAAAACACAGGGTTTTCATCGGATGGGAGGGTCTCCTGCCCATACATCTGCCTGATTTATTTCTAACATTTCTTAACTAAACCAAGTATCAATTTATTCAAACATGATTAGCAATATATTTATTAAGATGCGTTTTGTGACTTTGCAGGACTGTGTAAGCAGTGGTGAGCAGATTTATCTCCTCATTAATGATCTCCCTGATCGCTGCAGAGAGCTTCCCCAGGGGAGTGGGGGGAACACGGTAAACAGATGCAAAGTCTTCACCTTGTCACCTTACGGATTGCTTGTTTGCTTGCTTTTAAATATTTCTGATAATTTTTTTTTTTGGACAGGCAGAGTTAGACAGTGAGAGAGAGAGACAGAGAGAAAGGTATTCCGTCTGTTGGTTCACTCCCCAAATGGCCGCTATAGCCAGCTCGCTGCGCCGATCTGAAGCCAGGAGCCAGGTGCTTCCTCCTGGTCTCCCATGCAGGTGCAGGGCCCAAGCACCTGGGCCATCCTCCACTGCACTTCTGGGCCACAGCAGAGAGCTAGACTGGAAGAGGAGCAACCGGGACAGAACTGGCACCCCAACCTGGACTAGAACCCGGAGTACCGGCGCCGCAGTCAGAGGATTAGCCTAGTGAGCCGTGGCACCAGCCTTCTGATAAATATTTTAAACTACATACAAGCTCCGTTTATAATTCTGTAGGGTGTGTTGTTTGCTTATAGGCATTTGTTTCTTTTAAAGAAATAAATAAGCAACAGATGAAACCGATCACTCCCCATTTCCATTCTTTCGCGACGTCATCACACATAATTCCTGTTAAGGCTTTTGTGAGTTGTCTTCTAGATGATTTTAAATTCCTCCAGCAAAATCACGTGTTGAAACTTGATCACTAATGTCATAGTATTATGCAATAATTAAACCATAAAGTCGGAACTCTCTGGAATGGAATTAGGGCCCATACCATAGGGCTTAAGGAAGTAGACTCATTCTTTTCCACTGCTGCCACATGAGGACACAGCATTCACTTCTTCTGCTCTTCTACCATGTGAGAAAACAGCTGCAAGGTGTCATCTTGGAAATAGGGGGCAGCCGTCATCGAACTCTAAACCTACTGATTCCTTGTCTTGGATTTCCAAACCTTTAGAACTGTGAAGAATAAATTTATATTCTTTATAAATTAACCAATGTCAGATACTACTGTTAGCACAAATGAACTAAGACAATTGGGAATCATAAAAGATACCTACTAATTATTTGTATGTGTTTTGATTTATATGATTAGTAATATGATCTGCATCTTATCTTTTTGTGAAAAATTAATAATTTTACATGTTGTTCTTTGATTATAATAATAGCTAACATTATAAACATTTCCTACATGCCAGATAGTTTTCAAACCACTATTTACACACTTAACATATTTAATTTTCATAACAAAATCAAAAGATAAGTGATAAAATTCTTGCCATTTTTAAAACGAGGGAACATTGTGGTCTTTTAGATGAAGACAAACTTGTTGAGGGTTAAAAAGCATTGACATTCACACATTGAGTAGAGAGCCTAATCTTCCCCTCCACTTTATGCTTTTAAATTGCTGAAGAGAATCCTATCACCTGCAAATATAACTGCACTTTTCCATAGGCTCATTGTTGAATATTAAGTTAATTTGCAATTTTTTACT